TATATATTTTAAAACAAGTTTTAATAAGCATATTCTGATATCTTTGTTTCATAAAACATGATACTTTCTAATAAAGTTAAGATGAACTAGCCTTCCCCTGCATTCTCAAGTAAGAAAAATAAACCAGACACTTTCTGAGGAAAGACTAAAGATTAAAATTCCTCAGCTTGTCTGCAGCCATGCCACACTGAACAAGCCCGATTCCATATGATCTCAGAAGCTAAGCAGGGTCAGGCCTGGTTAGTACTTGGATGGGAGACCACCTAAGAAGATCAGGTGCAGTAGGTGTAAAAAATAAAAAGTAAGGGACTGTAAACTGACAAGGTCCTTGCAATCTGTGAGGTCAACCAAGGGTTGCCTCGCCTAGAAAAATAAAATAAAATAAATAATAAAAAATAAATAAAATATAATTCCTCAGCTTCTTTCTCAATGAAGAAATGAAAACATTTTCATTTTCTATGTTTGCATTATTTTACAGTCTGTGACAAAACAGAATAGTTGACAGAAAACCAGTTTGTCCAAATTACTTGTCTATTTATTTAGGTTTGGAATGATAAACTTTGGTGTCATATCATGTTTTTTTTAGGTTTTTCGATTATAGCATCTCCAACAGTAGCATTGCAGATAAGAAAAATCAAAGTAAAGGCAGTTATAGACTATATATCAGAAAATGTATCTTTGTGTTTTTATCAGCAGGGACTTTTTTTAGCAAGTACATTATGAATACATGTGGACCTCACAAAATGCAGACATTTCAAAATTTTCTACTAAATTTGATGTTTTTGTTGTGATATTTAACATTAAAAACTAATTTAATTGATTAGAGAAAGGGCATAAAAACATTATATGACAAAGTTAAATAGCATGTCCATAAACTGGCTCTTCCTGTATTTTTTTTTTATAGCTTTTCTATCCAAATCTTTAAATGAAAAGAGAAAGAATAGTAAAACTGACTCTCTTAACTCTCTCATACACCCCCACACATCTCAAGATGTGCATCTGAAATTTATATTAATGATAATGATATATTTTGCAAGAGCGTCTGCTATTTGTATGGGCTAATTATACAATTACTACAATTGATTGTTATTTATCACTTTTATTCTAAAATGTTCATGATTTTTATCTATTATATTTATTTCTATTATAGTCATAGATTTTTACCTTCTTACCTCCTTATCTTTCTCTCTCTTTCTACCTCCCTTCCTTTCTCAATTATTTCATGGCTTCCTGGCCTATGCCAAGCAGGAAAGCAGGGCACCAGACTTTAGAGTAAGACACTCTGAGCTTTCAAGGAGCTGTCTGCTCAGTAATATGTTTTACTCACTTATTAATAGTGATATAGGTATTCATACTATTTTCTAGCTTGCTTTTCTTGCTTAAAAATATAAATATCTTTATCAATAAATGTAGGTCTACTATGTCATCATTTAAAAGGCTGCATCATATTCTATTGTGTGACTGTACCACTGTTTATTTAACACATCCATCAGGCTGTTTTGGACTTTTTTGTTTTTAAATTAAAGTAGTGTTATGATTAGCGTTCTCACTGAGGTTTGTAGTTTCATAGTGACATTAATAAAGTGGCATTTATGATGGTAAAACTTATGACAGGGTAGCAGGAGGCCTGGAAGAATTAGACTGGTACACTGTCACAAGAAGAAAAAATGATGACTTCTACAAAGAAATCTACTTGTAGCCATGAAAAGAAATAGACAGATATGAGAAGCATTTTTGAAAGAGATACCAAAGCAGCTGATAGGAAGTGGTGAGAAAAAGGAAATGGTAAAACAAAGAAAACTCTATGGTTTTTAATTAGCTGATGAGTTGCGTTAATAATTAGCTATCAACTAAGTCAAGACATAAATGGCGTTGAGGTATGGTGATTTGAAAGACTTGGAATATAGAAATAGGCTGCAGTTATAAACTGGAAGAGCCTTGGGTTAAAGTTAGAATTCGTATTATCAACAAACAAAAGAGATAAATTTTTAAGAACAAATGAGATCGCCTAACAGAAAAGTTATAGTAATAATTAAGAGTTGAGTATAGAATTCCAGAGAATAGGAAATTTAATGTGGCTAGAGAGAGAGAAGCCTATAAAATCTTTGAGAATTTATAAGGTCTTCTTGGTCGAGAAAGTTGCAAAAAAAGGATTAACTCCAATTTCAAGATTTAAAAGGACTATAGAAGAGATTAAAATAAACCATATTTTATTTAGGCTTTGCTATTTAGTGAAAACTGAGCTAATTTATTTTTTAAAAATTGTTAAGTTACCTAGATTAAAAATGAGGTATACATTTCTGTAATTTTGGTTACATAGAAAGGAAAGTGTATCTAAATGAATAACAAATTTACAAAGGGACTTTGAACTATTTAGCATGATAAACTCAAATAATATATAGCTAGTCGAGGATCTATGTGTGTATTTGAATGGCCTAATGTAATAAAATCTTTGTATATTTATCTTATGAAGTCAGGAAATTAATACTTTCACTTAGCATCACTTCTATTTTTAACTTTTTACTGTTTGTTCCTGTAGTCAGAACATTAATAACCGTGGAGCTCATAAAATATAAATTCTTAGTTTCAAAAATGAAGAAATTAATACTCAGACCAGTTAATCTTGGTCAAAGTCATGTGGCTTATTTTTGGAAGAAATGAGGATGGAAGATTTCATATAAGAACACTCCATGAAGTAATCTCTTAATTTACAATTTCTTTTAATTCATTTCATATATATTTATCAATATTGGGATATTTATTTGAATTGGTATATCTTGAAAGTAGTTTTGGCTTGTATATAAAAAGTATTCTAATATAGATAGATATAGATATTTAAGATAGATATCGACATATAAGATAGATAGATAAGGTAATTTGCAGAATATGCGTCAGTTATTCCCCTACATTTCTATCTTGACCCTTTTTTATTGTCCCTGGGAAAGTGTACAAGAGATGGGCAGGGGAAATTTGTCCAGTTTGTTCATAGTTGCAGAACAGTTGTGAGCAGGAGTACAGTGCTAACTTAAATTATTCATTTCAGACACTGTAGTTTACTGGATGGAGCCTGCTTCAAGGGTCATGTTTCTACATTGCCCACCTATTAGAAATTGGCATAATTTTAAATTTTGTTCAAATCAAAGTATTTATTCTCTCTTAATCTCAATGTTTTCGTTTGTTAAATTCTAATATTAAATATTTGATCCTTAGGATTATCAAGGGATTAAATGAAATTGTAAAATCCTTAACTATCCCTGTCACATAGTAAGAGCATAATTAATATTAACTGCTGAGATTATTGCTGTTATTATGTGTAATTTCTCATGCAGCGTGAGTAAATATTGAAGCTTCTTTTTGATCTTATTGTTGGAAGATGCTGCTTAGAATTGCATCAATCCCTCATGATTCACTTCTAAAAGAATAAATTATTTAACGAAATCATGTAATTGTTTATATTTTCAAGAATGAATTATTTAATCAAATTATTTAATCATGTAGAGTTTTTAAATGCAGCCATTTTTAAACGTGTGATTTGTCATAGCAATTCCTAAAATGTATATATCTACTTCAAGAAGGTGGTGATTAATGTTTTAATGTTTTATATTTTCTAATTTCTGAGATGCTATACATTATTTAACTACTTTTTTTAAAAAATAAGTAAATGAAGGAATTAAATGAAAAAGTATACATAAAGATACTTAAATACTAAGATAATGCTCATATCTCTTTTGATTTGAATTTATTTCGTTCCTATGTGTAATAAGAGAAACAACGTTTCAACATTAGTTGAGAAATAATTAAGTTTGTTTTTGTTTCTGGGCACTGAAGCACAGTAATGCTAGAAGAGAGAATAAAACCTTTGCCTTTTCAATCATATGCAGTACTCTCCAAAGGGGCATGTTACATTTATCAGAAGAATGGAATTATTAATATATATTTCTATTTATTCATATTCTGGCATTCTAATTTAGCCTGTGCTTTTTGAAAGATATTCTATCGCATAAATACATTTGAATTCATATACATTGTATAAGAAATAAAAGTCTTCCAAAAGAACAGGTGATATTATTTATAAGAAAAGTCATTGGGTAGTACTTGCCTCTTGTTACTTCATGTTTTCTGTAAATCATAACATATATATGTATATATATATACACCAGCACAATAAAGTAAGTTTCAACCTAATTTACTCATCAATATCTTCAGTAAAATCAGAAATTAGCTTAACAAGAAAATTACAATTCTTATTGAAATATATTTTTGAAAATTCGCATAAGATTAATTTTACAGAAATAGTGGCAACAACATGACAAACTATTTGCAGTGATCTCAAAATGTCTTAAAGTGAAATTACATGGAATTCAAATGTCAAAATAACATTACAAATTCAAAAAACAAGAATACAGTGCATTGTCAGAGTGTGGCATTGCAGTCAGTTTCATCTCATTTCCACTAGAGAGAAAACCTTAGCAATTTGGCAATAGTTTCTAAACCAGAGTGAAATTTCTAATTTTATAACAAACGTTCTTTTTCCCTTTCAAACTACTACTATGCCTGCTAAGTCGACTTTGTCTCTTTGACCCTTTGGTATAGCATTCTTGGGTAAGAAATAACAGCATAGGAAGCAGAAGACTGAAAAGCTAATCCAGCTCTCAGCAAGCAGAATCACTCTTATGTCAAATGCAGATGTTAAAGACCCAGTTAATGGCTGATAATGACAAGTCATTGTATAAATTGTTCTTATGTTAACCATTCACTTTAATGCTTTATTTATTTTGCTAAAGTTCAAAGACGTCATTCAAGAGAGTTCTATGAAAACAATTCAGAATTGTTCAAGTGAGGATAATTTTCCACTTATTCCCAAGATCTCTATAATTATTGTCATCTGAATTGTCACACATCTTCAACCAGCAGAAATTGTTTCCTTATGATTTTCTGTGTTTGAGTATGATTTTCCAGTTTATACTAACCTTGAAAAATTTTCTTTTTCCCATTTCAAGTTCCACCCAATCTGACTGTTCCACAGGAAAAATCACCTTTGGTCACCAGAGAAGGAGACACAATAGAACTGCAGTGTCAAGTAACTGGAAAACCTAAACCCATCATCCTTTGGTCTAGAGCGGATAAAGAGGTTGCAATGCCTGATGGGTCAATGCAGATGGAGAGCTATGATGGAACACTGAGGATTGTGAATGTATCTAGGGAAATGTCAGGAATGTACAGATGTCAGACCAGCCAGTACAATGGATTTAATGTGAAGCCAAGAGAAGCTTTGGTGCAGCTCATCGTACAGTGTAAGTAAAATATATTTTTTTTAATGTATTTCTTCTGGGAGTCAAGGGGAGAAATAATACAATTATCCTATTAGTAAAATTAGGTGATTTTTGGAATTGGATTAGGATAAAATATTTGTACATTATACCCAATTTAAACTTTAATTTTCCCTAAATCTGCCTATTACCTGAGCTAATAGAAAAGAATTGTATTTGTGTGGTGTGTGTGTGTGTGTGTGTGTGTGTGTGTGTGTGTGTGTGTGTGTGTGTGATGATTATAATGGTGTTACATGCTTGGTTAATGCCAAAAAAATCAACAAATCTAATGGTTGAAAACTGGCCATGTGCAATGAAGCAAATTGGAGACTGGAAGTCATTGCTAATTTAGATTATTATACTATTTTGTTTTCTCAGTTCATGTTTCTACTTCAGAAAATTATGTGCCCTTTGTCCAATTTATCTACCAATTTCAAGGAATCCTTTTGTTTAAATTTTGGAGAACTAATCATTGAAATGCTATGTTTGCATATTTGAAGTTGTAAGAACAGATTGCATAATTATCTATATTGAGATAATTCAGGCAAATATTAGGTATTAAATTTTTGCTAGACTTTCTTAACAGGTGATTGTTGAATTGTGATATTTAATTATGATAGATATTTTAACTATTTTTAGGGAAATCATTATTAAGTTCTAAAAAATATTACAGGCATTGTATGCTTTGTATTTGCTTTTACTATTAAAAGTAATTAAATTCATAAATTTAAGAAGTTTAACAATGTCATTGGTGTTGGATTATTAGAGAATGTCTTGATAATTTAGATTGCAGTTGGTGTGGATATTGCTGAAAGAGAAAGCAACCTAAACACAGTCTGTTCAAACTCCGCTAGTGCTGATTTAAATTTTAACTGATGTACTATTTGTTAAATATACAGTGGCGAAGTCTTCAAAAAAATAATGAATTAGATGAAACTATACACTTCAATAAACAACAATATTGTTTTCTTTCTGTGGTTCTTTTGTAACTCAGAAAATGAAAACTAGAATTTAATCCCAAAATGTTTATTTTTATATTAGAATTAAGGACACTGGCAGATTGGGCTAACTGACTTTAAATTTGAAAGAATAATTGATGTATAGAAGGATTATGTTTGAAACTGATAACAATAAATGCATTTATGAGGTAAGCGAGTGGTGGGATGGGGAGCTAAATTCTGCGTGCTTGCTTAACCATCGCTTGTCCCTATTCTCTAGAAACTTCTATAAATATGCAAACTGATATGTGTCAAGTACCTTGGCTAGTTTCCGACTAAGTACAAGTTTTTTCTCCAAATAATTCAGCTTTTAGATGACAGGTTCCATTCAGCAGTTCAGTATTGCTTTTTCCTCTCACTGACCTTTTATGCCCATGACAATAAGCTCATACGTAGGAGGTTCATGGAAAACAGGTTTCAGAAAGAAAAAAAAAAATTATGAAAGAGAAACCTCTTCTCAGTTCTCCAAAATATAAGTAACACTCTCAAGTGACTACAGAGGAAATTGATAAAATTTGCAAAACTTCATTCTTGTTGATAATCCCAAGATTCTGTGCTCCTCCAGAGTTATGCACAAAACTTCAGTGTTCCTAAAGCTATTAGAGTAATTAGTTTTCACTCTGCTCATATCTCTTTGAGGAATCTCTGATACAAATAAAAGCTGTGGAACCCAGTGATTCTAGGGAATTTTGAATTAAAGTTTCAAGAATCAAGATGTCTAATTTCCATAGAAAATACTGATGTCCAGAATTCTATCGGTGCATTAAATTTCCTTTTTTTTTTTTTCCGTCTTAGTAAGTACCATAAAAAATGTCAAGTTCTGCACAGGATTTTAAAATCCAATCCTATAAAAGTAGATGGAGATAAATCCTAGCATGTTTTCTCTTGTGTCACAAAGATATGATTGACTGAAAGACACCAATAGATATGGGCAAAGTTCATTTAATGTAGGTTAAAGATTTGTATCCCAATTTGACTTTGTGGAGCAAGGCGGTATAATCTAACAACACTTCCTCTCAGAGGCAAGCTTCCATGGCCTGCCCAGGAAGGCAACTGGATGCTAGCAGTCTTGCGAGTGTCACGTGAGGATGCCATCGTGTCTTTCAAAAAGCTCCCTTTCATGTCTTTCCAACTCTTCTGAAAAATCTGGTTATGTGTCTGAGCATTTGCCAGATACAAATAACTGGAAACAACTCCAGAATATTTCTGAGTGAATCAAATCTTCATTTTTCCAGGCACATAATCTCTGCTAGCAGTCCAGCCTACCTAAGGCCAGGCATGTCTACCTAAGACTTATTTCTGCAAAAAAAATAAGGCAGAGGTCCTGATAATATTTTTTAAATAATAAACATTCTAATGTTTATAGTGATTTCTTAAAAATATGAAAAATAATAGGTATTTATCCTTAATTTGGCTAGCCATGCTACGTATAAGAAGTACTTATATAGAATGTTATTTCATACACATATACCTGCACATATACATACCTGCTTACATATATACATACGTGCATGTACATGTGTTTATATCACCCTCAACAATTAGTTATCAGTTACATCAAAACAAGCCATGTTTTATATACTTTGTATTCTCAGCCTAATATATCTTATAACTATTCAGTAAATGTGTTGAGTAAATGTGAGTTATAACAAATGAAATAAGACTATATAGATCTGTATATTTATATCTATCTATCTATCATCTATCATCTATCTGTCTGCGTCTGTCTTTATATTGCATACCTCTTGCTTCTTGCATGACTGGTTTTTATTATTTAGGTTTAGGAGTGTCTGAGGATTTGCTATATATAGTTTGATAGCTGAAAGTGCCTGAGTGTATAAAGGGAGATATCAAATTACTTTAATCATTACAGAACACAGTTTTCAGGACTTGAACTCTATATTTTATTGAAATCTCTTTTCTTGAAAACGTTTATTACATCAACAAATTCTAGGACAGTCTATTTTATACATGTGAACACACACACATATATATTTGTTTTGAAATATAAATAATGAAAAAGAGATGGTCATAATAAGTAAAAAAAATCTGTCATTTCCAAGCACCCGTTTTCCTTCCCTTGTTTAATTTTACTTGTATTCCATTAAACAATAACAAATCAAAAGGATTAAAAAAACACAAAAATAATTTTATATAGGACTTTGATGAGTGAGATCGTAAAGGCCTAAATATACATAGTGCATGTATTTCCATAATATATAAATAATGGAATGGTCCATTTAGTTTAATATTCGAAATCTCCTAATGAGATTTGTTCTTAGTTAATTTTGTATTAAAATTGAAAGCAATTGTTTTATTAAAACTTTTAAAATTATTTTTTTATCTCCAATTAATTTGCCTATTCTTAAAATGAGTGATTTAACAAGTGAAAGAAGCCTAGAGGTATTTTTATACCATTCTATATCCTTTCCAGCATACCTTAATCATCAAAATGAAATCATTTAAATTATTAAATTCTTGTGCACATTGCTCATTCCTAGAAAGCAGATTTATTTTATAATATTTTTAACTTCTAAAATTACTAATTACCAAAAATGATAAGGACCAGAATAAGAAGTTGTAAATATATTTTGAAAAATAATGGTTTAAAATTAATCTATTTTTTAATTACTAGATGAAACTGCAAAGTATGTTGTAGTTTTCATAACAGACTTTTGAATTTTCCACCATCACTTAATTTTATTCACGTGTTTTTGAAACTATAAAACAATTCTTTTGTTAACTTTAGGCTCATTAAAACAGCATTAAAATGAATCACTGAAAATAAAATAAAATAAATAAATAAATAAATAAATAAATAAATAAATAAATAAATAAATAATTGATTCGGAACGTTAAGGAGGAAATTTTTCCTTATACCCTTATAGCTTCTTTGGTAGGTCTAATAATTAAATTGACATAATATAAATTACATGAAAATAACATTTTAAGTTCATATATACAGAAGCTCCTTAAAAGTAAGTAGGAGACCAAAAGGCAAGTAGAGCAGTTGAGGCTTATATGCCATCCTCAGCTAAGGAATGGGATAGGGCTCTGGAGTTTCAAACGGGGAGTGGTGATTAAACCAGATGTTTGGTAATTAGATATTTGCCCTGTGATACAGATAGGTCATTCAAAAAAATGTTATCTCTTGTAAGAACTTTCGCTCTGGGCCAGGCCTCCTATCTCAATTCTTTTAGGTAGGTAAAAAGAAGTAAAGTTTTCCTTGGTCTGCTGGATCTTGATTGCTTCCAGTTCAAAATAATCCACTTGTCCAAGTTGTACATTTTGGGGTGGCATATTCTGCTTCCCTTCAATATCATTTGAAGGGAAATCATAGTATGTATAGAGCTTATTGAACAAAACTAGAACAATTTTCTAAATAAAATAACAGTAATAAAAGTGATTTTTAAATTTATCCATTGGAGTACAACATTTGAATATTGATTAAATAAAAATAATATTGGATGAATATATTCAAATATATATATTAAAGAAGAAACTAAGATATATGCCCATTGCCCTCTTAAACGAAATTGTTTTTTTCTTATATTTATTTGTGTAGTATATACACATAGTAGTATATGCTATAATTTTAATTTCATAAACTATATTATTTTATTTTAATAAAAGTTGTTTTTTTAAAAGGTTTCATTCAAAGCACTAATAAAATATTTTAGTAAAGTGAGTGTAATTTGAATATGTTTCTTTAAAAATCATTTGGAGAAGATATATACTTCTATTAAAGCTTCATTAAAAATATAACAGTTGTACCTACAATTAAAGATATTCTGTTTTGGAGTATAAAATATACACTAAAAAATCAAACACTGATGATGATGTTAAATTATATTAAGTAACAATCTTTCAGCCATCTCCAAATGAGATCTCATATACCACTTAAATTTATATTTTCATGTTCTTCACCTGTTTCTAAATCAAGACAAAATCAGGTGAAGAGAAGGGAGCCACAGATCAAGGATTTAT